CAGTTCTTCCACAAAGTGCTCATCTATTGAAAGCAAATTCTGCTTAATACAAACTCTATAGGCTTTTCTTTTTCTTTTTAAAAATATTTTTAGTTGTAGATGGACACAAATCCTCTGTTTTTATTTATTTATTTTTATATGGTGCTGAGGATTGAACCCATAGTTTCACATGTGCCAGAAAGTGCTCTGCCTCTGAGTTAGAACCCCAGCCCACCTCTGTTGGCCTTTCTAATGAAGGATCATTTGCAAGCAGCAAATATCCCAAGCTTTATGTTGTTAAAAATCACCACCGGGCTGGGGATGTGGCTCAAGCGGTAGCGCGCTTGCCTGGCATGCATGAGGTTCGATCCTCAGCACCACATACAAACAAAGATGTTGTGTCCACCAAAAACTAAAAAATAAATATTAAAAAATTCTCTCTCTCAAAAAAAAAAAAACAAAAAAAACCCACCACCATCCCAAATGTTTCCCAGTCCTGTCGGTCAACCTGTTTGGTCTCTTTGGGTTTTGATGCTATTGCTTTAGAGCAATTGGTTAGCTGACTGTCTTCAAATACTTCTGTGCCATCTTCAAATACTTCCAGAACCAGATCTGCTGTGTGGAGAGTCCTTTCCACCTGCCAGTGTCTGTCTACAAACTGGAACATCCCTTTGATGAGACTGGTGTGTTGCATAATGGGAACACTGGAAATTTTTTCTTCTAAATCCATCCCCTATGTCCCTGTACTCACATTGTGGGTTTGCAGAACAATCATCTCTTGTCCACGTACAGCCAGTTTCATCTCCTCTGTGAGATGGACCACTTTTTTGATCATGAGAAAACCTGTGATCTTCATCATTACTCAGTAGTCAACATGACTGTAATGTCTACTTAGCTTCCTTCACCAGGTTTGTCTAGTAGTGGTGGTTCCTTTGGCACAACACTACTATCTGGTAGCCACCATTGGGGAGACTTGGAGAAGGTACTGGTTCTCCTGGAAGTCCTCATAGGGTCCCTCAGAGCATATTCCATCCTTCTCTGAGCCACCTCTCTGGGTTGCTGGGAGATGTGTGAAGATAGTCCTCTGCTCACCACCACTATCCCATGCTTTATATTGTTAAAAATCAGTGATTCCCTATCTTAAATAAGGCTCATGGAACAACTTTCCTATCTCCACTTCCACAATGCTTTGCCTCCTGTTCCGTGTTAGAACATAAGAGGTCACTTATAAAACAATAGGACTTTAACACTGAAACCTACAGAAACACATTTATCCAACCAAGTGCTACCTTCAAAGATAATCATGTCAGGAGGCTCAACACACTCTTAGCATATGAACAAACACTACCTGAATTCAGAAAGAACTGTGCTCTGGATCTGCCTAGGAAGAAAAGATTCTGAGCCACATCAAGGTTATCACTTTGTGGTTACCCTTATTTTGCATGAGTGAAAGTTTCTTTCTGCTTGACCTTTAATGGTTACTAGTTTTGGCTGTGAATGAGTGTTTGAGAATCCTGTTCAAAAATAAAAAAAATAATCACATTGTTCAGACAAGGCCTGCCTTTGAGTGTTTAATAATAAAGAGTGAGACAGATTTGGGGGACCCAAAGAAAATGAAAATGGTTCAAAGAGATAGTCTCTGGTCCCCTTTGTATCCTTTCTCACTCACTTGAGAATACCCAGCTGTGGGCTGGGGATGTGGCCCAGTGGTAGGGCACTTGCCTAGCACTGTGAGAGGCCCTGAGTTTAGTCCCCAGTACTGGAAAAAACAAAACAGAACATCCATTATTATCTGTCTTGGTTTAAGCCTTCTGCTGATGAGGTTAATTTTTCTTTTCAAGTGTTTGAACAATTATGGACTTACATGTTTTGAGGATAGAATAAGCAAATATTTGCTTGCCACCAAGAGCCAAACTGATAGCCATGATACCCTGCTACTACTACTTCAAAGGGAAGAAGTGTTTACACCCCTATGCCCCAGGTCTTTTTATTTTTATGTCAGGGAACACTCTTCGACTGAGCTACATCCACACTCCTTTAGCTGGGACGGGAGTTAAAACATCAAATTAAATACTTTAAGCAGATTGTTTTATTTTATTTTTTTATTTAAAAATTTTTTTTAGTTATACATGGACATGATATCTTCATTTTGTTTATTTTATTTTAATGTGGTGCTGAGGATTGAACCCAGTACCTCACATGAACAAGGCAAGCACTCTGTATGACATTCAATTAATACTTTATTATTTCAATTAAAATAATGAGCAAGCTATTTAAAAATAAAAGAGCAAGTAGGCATGATGGGGCAGAGAATTTTTCCCCAGAAGTTCTGTATATTCTGCATGTTTTACTTGATGAAATATGAGTCTCTTGTCTTTTCAGAAAAGATGTCATTAGATCCCAGACAATTTTATCCTATTCCAATCGATAATAATTTATTAATTATTCACAATTCAGAATTTTGTCTTTATTTTTTCGTACAATTGAGAAAAAATAATTAATTATGGTGAATGTTGGGGACTTCAGGACTGGGAAATAGGAGATGAGGAAAGATCTCACAGACTTTGACTATTCCCCCAAACTAAGTCATCTTTAAAGCAAATCTTTGCCACAATTTATGATATTGTTAGAATGTTCAATGGGATAGCACCATCTCACATTTCTTGCACATCCCATGAAAATATCACCCAAAGAAGATTTAAAAGGCACAAGTCAACAAGGGCCATGAAAGGCAGAATCGATGACGATGAGAAATGTAGTACAATTTTATAATCCAGAGGGTGAAGGGCAATTTAGGATAATGGGTCTAGCTGACACGTGAGTGCCTGTAGAAGGGGACTTCAATACAAAGCAAGGTGACTGTTTTCCTAGAACTGGGAAAAGACTGAGGCAACTCTGAGGCAGGAGTGAATGGCAGGGCTATGAACAGGAAGACTGGTTGTCAGTCCATGTGGAGCAGTTCAACTCTCAGTGTTCTCCCTCAGGCCAGGACCAGAGCTGGCTCTTTCTTCTCAGCCTGAGGGGAAGAAGGATGGGAAGATCAGGGAGAAAGTAAGACCGTGTGTGTGTGTGTGTGTGTGTGTGTGTGTGTGTGTGTGTGTGTTTCTCTCTCTCTCTCTCTCTCTCTCTCTCTTTTATTGTGGTACTAGGGATCAAACCCAGGGTCTCCTGCCTGCTAGCCAAGCTGCTTTACCACTGAGGTATTGTGCCCACCAGCCCAATTCAATGCCTTTAACAAGTGGAAAAACTATCCTTTTTGAAGTTGTAATTTGTTGAGGAGATATTAATACAATGGTTGTCCCTTATTCCTGAGGGATATATTCCAAAACCCCAGGTGGCTATCTGAAACCACAGGCAGTACAGAACCCTGTACGTACTATGTTTTTTATTTTATTGGCTATTGATGACAAAGCTTAATTTATAAATTATAAATATATGAATTAGACACAGTAGACTAACAATAACTAAAAATTAAATTGAACAATTACTGTATTAAGTAAAATAAGGAGCTTGAACATAAGCACTTGGATACTCTCACAGCTAATCTGGTAGCCGAGTTGGCTACTAAATGAGTAATGATCAGGAGGCAATAAAGGATGGTGCAACAAAGAAAGACTTATGTTCCATACAGGGCAGAGCAGGTCAGTGGGAGATTTCATCACACACTTCCCTATGGCATGCAATTCAAAATGTATCAATTGTTTCATTCTGGAACTTTCACTTAATATTTCTGGGTCACAGTTGACCATGATAACTGAAACAATGGAGAATAAAATCGTGGACAAGAGGGGACACCATAAATGAATAAGTAAAATTTTTTGCATATCAAATTGTTATAGGCTTGAGCCCTGGGACATTCACACATTCAGTAATGGAATAGCAGAGGGCCTGTGGCTCAATGGTAGAGCCCTTGATTAGCACGTGGGAAACATGGAGTTTGATCCTCAGCACCACATAAAAATAATTAAAGGTATTGTGTCCCTCTACAACTAAAAATATTAAAAAGGAATGAAATAGCAGAGAGAGAGAGTAGAAAAGAGGAACTGAGAAGGAGCAGCCTGTGAAGTCGGATGTAAGCAAGAAGGTGAGAGAGAAAAAGCTTCTAGTGATATGAAGTGGTTCACTTAGCTAAATGCTGATGAGAGATCAAGCAGAGAGCAGATGATCACTGGAATTGTACCCAGGTCATGGGAGAAGTCCTAGGGCAGCAGACGTGGCTGAGTGAGACAGAAGCCAGACTGGAAAGAGCTGAAGAGAAATGGGAGGTGGGGATGTGCTTCTCCCCTAGAAGTCCCACCATGGAGAGAGCAGATGCTGAGGTTGTACTTGGAGGGTGGTGTAGGGTCAGTGGAATGTTGTTTGTACGATGGGAGAATGCTGGGGGGCCCTTTGCACAATGATGGAGGTGATGGAGCAGAGAGGGAGAAGCTCAGCCTAGCTGGGAGTTGTGAGGCATGGGACAGAGGCTGCATGTGGAGATGCTGCCTTTGCCAGGAGCAAAGGCCCTTCATCCCAGAAACAGTGGGAAGGAAGGAAGGATCAGTGAGGGAAAGGTGTGACTGCTGCTTTGTGACAGGGGGAGAACTTTGTAGTGCTTCTTTGAAATGGCTTTTTTTTTTTTTTAATGGTATATATAAGCAAAGATTATCTGCTAAGAGCAGAGGATAGTGGAAGGTTAGGGGGCAGAGAGGGTGTCAGATGTGTGTGTTGGGCTCTCAACAAAGAATAGGAGAAGTGAAATAATCATAGTTGTTTTAGAGAGGGGGACAACACAGGAAGAATCCAGAGAAGTGACTGAGGTGACCATGCTGACTTGAGGCCATATGAGATTCATGGTTATGGATTCAAAGTAAGATTTATTAGGCAGCTTGTGGATTTTCCTCCAGCCATTGCTAGCTTTCAGTGCAGGTGAGGATATAGAAGACATTAAGAATACCAAGTTCTTTCTTTTCTCTTTTTCTAATATATGTTATTTTTTCCCCCCAGACTCCAAATGGGTCTAAACAAGGACAGACAAAATATGCAATGCAACCATTTAATGATAACATTTGTATTTTTACAGTATGCATAATTTCACTCCTGTGGTTAATTAGTAATGCAAGCTTATCTGTCTCAGATTTAGGTGAAATGCATGAATCTAAGTTAATAAAATTGGGGAACATCAACAGCCCATTTAAATCCCTCCTTAATGGCTTATGATCAGTCAGATGCAGGTAAGTGTTCTTTCAAAGCTTAAAACAGATTGATATATAAATTGTGAGTCTGTTTGTAAAGCTGCATAAATGGAAAATTCTTAAACCAAATGTCACACACTTTGTGCAAACACATTTTTCCTTCGGTCAGTCTTCACTTTAGGCATTGGCTTTCCAATCCTTTAAGAATTTTATATTGCCCAAGAGAGTGGTTAATTTTCCTATTTTTGGAGATAACTGTATAGATGGAAGGCATTGGGTGCTACACAGTTTGGATGTTGCCTAAATTCCAGTGGTTTTTAGATAGCCTTTTTTGTATTGTTGTCTAATATTGGGAAATACTGGTATCATTTAAGATTAAGTCTTGATTATATCTTTAAAAAAAAACTGAATGTACTATAGATTATTTGATAATCAAGGTTGTAGGTAAGTTTTTCACCAGCATTAGCTTTATTAGTAAGCTGAAAATGGGGGGTTACTATTAAGTAAAACACAAATTATGAACGGCATGGCTCTTAGGAGAAAGGCTATATTTTGTTCCTGCTTCTGTAAAAATGCTACTTGTTTGAAGGGGAATCAATGGTAGTGTGACACACTACACTAGTGGCAGTGTGTCCCTTAATGTGGCAAAGTAACAAAATGAGCTGAAGAAGAAGGAAAATTTTGCAGTTACACTCCACAGCCCTGAATGTACTGAGAGAGGTTGCGATTTTGACAATGATTTCTCCATGCCACCCTGCAGAGAAAAGGGAAACACAAACAAAGGTTAAAACATATCTGCATTGTAGTGTACATACTCAATTCCTTTTGTGGGAGCAAAAAATCCTATCCATAAATATCATACAGGCTACAACTAGACCCAGGTACTGCTACTGATTAAGTGGAGATGAGTATACAAGATGCTTTGCTCATCCTCAGAGGCCTCCATAGGACACAGAATGCTGAACACAAATGTTGAATTATGTGCATGGCCCATTTACTTATTCCACAAATTGTTTCAAATATGACAAGGAGGCCGACATGGGGTGCATGACTATAACTGTAGCAGCTCAGGAGGCTGAGGCAGGAGGACTGCAAGTTCAAAGCCAGCCTTAGCAATTTAGTGAGGTCCTGTCTCCAAATAAAAAATAAAAAAGGACTGGGGCTGTGGATCAGTGGTTAAGTTTCCTGGTTCTATCTCTTATACAAGCCTCCCACTTTCCCCCCAAAAAAAGATATGACAAGGAACTAGTAGAGTGTGGAGAATATTTAAAACTTTAGAAATCCCTAAAATCTATAGAGGAGTAAATGGACAAGACTGTGAATCAGTTCAAGCTGATTGTCTCTTCTGAAGGAGGTAATACATTGTGTCCCTTAGGCCTCAAAGGGCAACTTTACATTCAGAATAACACTTAGGTCTTTGATTTTTTTCCTCTCACTGCATATATGAACAGTAGAGTAAAACAGTTTCCCCTTTCAAACCTTAAAACATACCATGCTCTAATGCCTTGTGGGTCACGGACAACCCTCTTTGCGCAAGTCACGGCTTGAGAGATGTCATCTTGCAACAGAGCTGGAAGAGATGTGATGAGACATGAAAAGGATGTTCTAACAATTTCCTTGGAAGTTTACACTTAGCCAGTTTATTATGTTAGGCAGAGGAAAGCATACCACGCCAAGAATTTATATATCTGTGTTTGTTGGGAAAACTTCCTCTTAATTTGTTTTGTTATTGACGTGAAATAACACAGTGTTTCTCAATTACTAAAGTTGTTGGAGACCTGGAATTATTAATTAATATGGAAGAAAGTCCTCTTTGCATACTGTGAAAAAATACATGCCCCGAAATTTTTTACTCAGCAATTCTACCACTGATGTTATATCCCAAAGAAATAATAAAAAGTCTGGGAATATGTCTCAGTGGCAATATGCACAAAAGTTAAAAAGAATTGAGAGAGAGAGAGAAATATATTGAAACCCCTTGCATGTATCCATAAAGCCATTTGTAGCAATTCCTAAAAGGGAAAAGTGGAAACAGCCTAACAGTGGATTCTCTCTCCCTTTCAAAAAATCACATTGATATGGAAATAATTTATGTGAATAGATGATATTTGTAGAGCAAGGTGTATAATAAAATTTAATTTTTGTAAAAACACAGTTGTATCTGGCTATGTATATGTTTAATATAACTTTACATGTTGAAATACATTCAGAAAGAATATGCACCAAAAATTATCCATGGTTATAAATCTCTGGGTAGTAAGACTGTGCATGCTATTTCACCTTGCTTATATTTTTCTAAATATTATTCAATGACCATAGATTATTATACAATACAAAAGCAATTTTTAAGTAAATCAGCTAAGTTAAAAATAATTTTATAAAATTGATTTTCTCTTGGGGATTTTAACATTTAATATTTTTAAAATATCAAGTCTGCAATATGTATGCACTATTTTATACACTAAAATTTGTACATGCTATTTCTATTTTCATGAGTTCAGGAGTCTAATACTCTCATACCTTATATATGTAACAAACCTTGAGAGTTCTTTTTCTTATTAAAACACAATGTTTCATCCCAAGTACATAAATACATGAGGTAATATTTTAGGTGTGATAATGATTATTTAGGAATTGTGTATTTTGGAGATTCAAGCTAGAGGATTTAGAAATAAAATATCAACATTTCTAATTCACCTTAAAATCTCTCAGCAAAATGTATAAATAACAAGAAGAATCTATGGAAAGATGTCAATTATTGTTGAAAGTGTACAGTCATCTGGATATTCATTATATGAAAATCTAACTTTCTACATACATAGGACCTTTCATAATAACGCATAAAACAATCAAAAGGATCACACAATCAAAAGATTCCCTAAGCCATTCTCAGTGAATACATGGAATGGCAAAGTTTTGGAAAAGCTTTAATAAGGCCATTAACAATAAATGAGCAGGCACTCTACCACTGAGCTAAATCCCTAGCCCTAGGTTTCTATACAGGGAATTTTAAGGATAACAATCACTTTCTAGAAGTTGAGATGGATTTTTTTCTAGCTCCCTGACAAACCCTTACAAGCTATTTGATTTGCTTGAACATCTGTTCTTGTAAACATATGCAGGTAGTTCTTGTGCCATCACTCAAATATTATCTAGTCTTACCATTGCAGGATATACCACAGGCATTAACTGCTCTTGGGGTTTTGCCATCATTACACCAGTAGTGGCTATTGATCTGGAATATCCCATAGTCAGTACTTTGGTCTCCAGGGTTGTAGTTTGTAGCTCTGGTGTTGTAACTACTCTCCCATTGGGCCAGACACACCCCTGAAAAGAAATAGTTTTTTGTAATAAATAGCAACACCAACTGATTTATATACTGTGTATCAAAACCAATTCTATACAACTAATTGTATTTTTTCTAGAGACTTACTTTGTAAGTACAAGATGTATTTAATTGATAAAATATCAGTAACAGGTTAGGGTTGTTTTGTTGTTTGAGACAGGGTCTCACTGGGTTCCCAGGGTGGTCTCCTGTCTCAAGTGATCCTTCCACCTCAGCCTCCCAAGTAGCTGGGACTACAGGTCTGAGCCACCATGCCTGCCTGCCTCAATACCTTTGTTATAGAGGGTCCCTAGGAGTATCCTTTTGTAGCTCAAATCAGTTTATAAGACTGTGAAGCAAGATAAGGTACTTTTAAAAATCTTTAAATTGCTATTTTTCCATCGCTTTTGCCTTCCCCTTGTTCTCATCTCTCAGACAACACTGAGCCTAGAACAGAAAATGGAGCTGTTGAGAAGGTTGTACAAATTCATAGCAGATACACAGCTGATGGGAAAATGCTTTATTAGAAACATTTAAGGATTTTTCTGAGAGTGATTTTCTTGTAATACCTAAAGGTGAATTTGGATGTTAAGTTTGAATCTTGAAACCAAGAATTATGGAATAGGAAAGGCTATTCCGTGATTTTGTTCAACCACCCATTCATGTACTTACTTGCTCATTCATTTACAAATAGCTGTGGAAGGGGAAATGTTTGAGGTCAATCTGAAAAGTACAGAGATTGGAGAATCTGGAGTATGCTATACAGTAACTTTTCGTCATGGCATGTTTTGAATGTTGTGCAAGAAAATGAAGATTAATCAACTTAAAATGAATAATACCCATATCCCTTCAGCAGGTATCTAATTCTAGAGGACCAAAATGATGTTTTCAATCATTGTAAAAACAATGAGGAAAACCCAACTTACAGTTTGCCAGGCTGATTCCGCGGTAGCCATCCATTCCAAGTCTTTTTAGAGTTCTGGCCAACTCACACCTTTCATAGACCTTGCCCTGGACTATGACAGAAAGGAGAAGAAGCCCCAGAATCAGAAAAGCCTTCATGTTGATGGGAAAGTCAGACCACTAAGCTTACCTAGGGAAGCTGGCCTCAGTATTTAACATCTTAGAACTTCCTTCTTCTATCCATTGGTCTTCCTTCTTCTCCAAAGGGCTACTATACCTTTGGAGCTGTGTGCAGAGCAGGAACTACTTATTGGTTCACCACCCTTGAATGGTTTTTTTTTTTTTAATGTTTGAAGAGAGATATTATGATGTTCTGAGAATTAATCTACAAGAAAATAAAGTCATGATGTTGTTTAAAGCTTTGGCTCAGGAAGAATTGGGAAAACAGCACCATTTCCAAGACAGGAAATTCAATTTCACTATGAATTTGAACCACTTTAAAGAAAAGACAATGACTATTTTGTACAACTTAAAATCAGCTGTGTTTCTTTATTTTTTTACTCTATTCTTTTGTCTGTTTTCACTATTTCTATTGATATTTTCCATGCAAAATTATTCTTATATATATATTTTTTCAAGTAAATAGACATGACACATATCCCTGTTATCTTCAAAGTTATATAGCATGATGCCAAATTATTCAGCCAATTTTTTACTTTGGTGTGTTTTTGTTACTATTGTAAGATATTTACATATCTATATAATTTTATTTAAACTTGGTTGCTTTATTTCGAACTTTTAAAATTCACTAAAAGATCTATAATATCAGCTTTCCCCATGTTGATCATCAAGGTTTCATGGTAAGGAAATGAAAATTTTATCACATCTGTCAGCTATACTGAAAAACAGTGGATAATTTACAAATAAATCTTTAATCCAGAACATTTTACAAAATACATACTCTGGTATACATCTGAATATATCCTATAATTTGACTTTAAAATGCAGTAAAGGAAAAGGAAAATTCCCAACAAAGTCAACACTGTCAAGCCTAGGAGAATAATGCTGATGGCAAGCTTAGAAAGAGTTTAAATGTTGAATGAAATTGGAGGGAAAGGAAGAGGCAGAGATTACCCATTGATCCTACATTTAAACGTATCTGTTAGTAAGACATTTTTAAAAAATGAATTTAAGTGAAGAACTTCTTTGTCTCTGGTATTTTCTCAGGCTTTCTTATCTTTTCTTTTTTCTCAGTGCTTCATAGTTGTACATAATTGTGGGATTTGTTGTCTCGTATTAGTACCTGCACATACTACAATAATATAATTGTCTAATATCTCCCTTTGCTTTTCATGCTATCACTCCCCACCTTTCTTTTCCTTTGTCCTCTCTAATTTCCATGTTTATGAGAAAAAAAAATATGAACTTGACCTTTTGACTTTGGATTATTTTGCTTAACATGATGGTCTCAAGTTCCATCCATTTTCCTGCAAATGACCTACTTTTGACCTCTTGATGACTGAATAAAACTCCATTGTGTATATATATATTTTCTTTATCCATTTGTCTGTTGTTGGACACCTAGGCTGGTTTTATAGTTTGGCTATTGTGAATTGTGCTGTCATCAAAATAATGGGTATACATGTATCACTACAGTATGACAACTTTAATTGTTCAGGATAAATACCAAAGAGTACTGTGGATGGTTCGTACGGTGGTCCCATGCTTATTCTTTGGAGGAACCTCCATACTGATTTTCAGAGTGTATTAATTTGCAATTCTACCAACAGTGTAAAGTATTTCTTTTTCTTCACATCTTCTCCAGCATTTATAATTGCTTGTATTCTTTTTTCCTTTTTTAAAATTTTTGTTCTTTTTGGATATACATGACAGTATTATTTTTTGTATTCTTGATAACTCTCATTCTGATTGGTATGAGGTGCAATCTCAATGTAGTTTTGATTTGCATTTACCTAATTGCTAATGATGTTGAACATATTTCCATATACTTGTTGGCTATTTGTATTCATTATTTTGTGAAATGTCTGTTTAATTCATTTGATCATTTATTATTTGGGTTATTTGTCTTTTTATTATTAATTCTTTTGAATTTGCTATATATTCTAGATATTAATCCTATCAGAAGTGTAGCTGGCAAAGATTTTCTCTCATTCTGTAAGTTCTTTCTTCATGTTCTTTTTTTTTAAATTTATTTTTTAGTTGTAGATGGACACAATTCTTTATTGTATTTATTTATTTATTTATTTTTATGTGGTGCTGAGGATCAAACTCAAGTCCTTGCATGTGCTAGGTGAGCACTCTATCGCTGAGCTACAACCTCAGCCCCTCTTAATGTTCTTAATTGTTTCCTTTGTTTCACAGAAGTTTGTTAATTTGATGCCATCTCATTGATTAACTTTTGGTATTATTTCCTGAGCTTTAGGGGTCCTATTGAGCAAGTATTTGCCTGTCTCTATGCTGAAGTGATGACCCTATGTTTTCTTTTAGGAGCTGAATAGTTTCTGGCCTAATTCCTAGGTCTTTGATCCATTTTGAGTTGATTTTTGTGCAGGATGAGGGATAAGGGTCTATTCTCATTTTCTATATATGGATACCCAGTTTTCTCAGCACCGTTTGTTAAGGGGGCTATCTTTTCACCAATGTATGTTTTTGGCACCTTTGTCAAGGATCAGATGACTGTAGATGTGTGGGTTTATATTTGTGTATTCTATCCATTGGTCTATGTGTCTGTTTTTGTGCCAGTATCAGTTTTTGTTACTATCCCTCTGTAGTATAATTTGAAATTAGGTGTTGCAATGCATCTAGCATTTCTTATTTTGACTTAAAATTGTTTTGGCTATTCTGGGTCTTTTATTTTTCCAAGTAAATTTTAGGACTATTTTTTCTTGTTGTGTGAAGAATGTCATTATTGTTTTGATGGGGATTGCATTGAATCTGCATATTGCCTTCATTAATTCTGCCATTTTTCTTTGTTCTTGTACCAGGCACTCAACAGCTGAGCCACATCCCCAGCCCTACTTTGTATTTTATTTTAAAGTCAGGGTCTCACTGAGTTGCTTAGTTCCTCGCTGTTGCTGAGACTGGCTTTGAACTCATGATCCTCTGTCTCAGTCACTCGAGACACTGGGATGTGCCACCATGCCCAGCTATTTTAGCAATATTAAGCCAATTAAACCATTTTAGCAATATTAATTCTGCTTATCCATGAGCATGGGAGGTCTTTCAATTTTCTTATGCCTCATTCAACTTTTTTCTTCACTTTTCTATTGTTTTCATGTGGAGGTTATTCACCTCCTTGGCTAGATGTATTCCTAGGTTGTTTTTTGTTTTTAGTCAATTGTAAATGGTACTGTTTTCCTGATTTCTTTCTCAGCAGATTCAATTTGTGTAGGAAATCTATTAATTTTTGTGTGTTGATTTTGTAGCCTGATACTTTGTTGAATTTGATTAGTAGCTGGAGTAGTCTTTTGCTGGGGTTTTGGGGATCTTCTAAGTATAGGAGTATCTCATCTTCAAACAGTGACAGTTTGACTTCTTCCTTTCTTATTTTTAGTCCTTTCATTTCCTCCTCTTGTCTAATTGCTTTGGCTAGAATTTCAAGCACTATATTCAATAAAAGTGGTGATTTTAAAATCTTATTCCAGATTTAAAAGAAAGGGTTTCAGTTTTTCTCCACTTACTATGAGGTTGGCTTAGGTTTTTTCATATATAGCCTTTATGATGTTGAGGTAAATTCATACTATTCCTACTTTCTTCAGTGTTTTTATCATGAATGGGTACTGGATTTTGTCAAATGCTTTCTCTGCATCTATTGACATGACTTAGTGATTTTTGTCATTAATTCTATTTAGGTGATGAATTATGTTTATTAATTTGAGTGTGTTAAACAACTTACATCTCTGGATAAAGATTTTATTTTCAAACTTGTGACATACCAACCAAAGAACCTAAATCCTGGGACTAGAATATTTAAGAAAAACAAAACACTGGGGACAGGAGAAATGACATCAATAGTTTGTTAATCTTTTTAAGGTTTGTAACAAATATATCACTTTACACTTTAAGAAAAAATATCAGAGATAATATGTGGGATTTCATTTGGCTTATAAAAGATAGTTAAATACAATCTCTCAAAGAGAAAAATAAAAATTCAAGGTATTCTCCCTTATGAAATTTTAAAAAAATGTACTCCCTCATTAGTTTTTAAATACGTGGAATGACACAATACATATTTGGGGGCACCCATGAGAGAAGCCATTGAAATTATTCACACTGCTATTTCTACTTTTAGAATATCCTTGATGTACTCTGGGGTAAGTAAAAAAAATAAAAAGAATACCAAAATTAAAGTAGAATAGAGGAGAAAAGGAAGGAGGATGGGAGGATAATGAAATTGGCTAGTAACAACAAACATGATTTTTAAGGTTTCCTTGCTAATGTCACCAGATTATATATTTTAGCTCAATGGCACTGGGCTATTGGAAGTGACCAGAAAATGAGTGGAGTGTCCTAATGGGTCCCTGTTAGGTTTTCAACTAACCTGTAATTTGAATGGCCCACTAAAAGGGCTGATGACACAGCCTGGCTTGGTAAGGCTGGCTGTGGGGGGATTACTGCCTGTTCTTCTCTTTCTTTCAAGATTTCTCTTGAATGTCTAAGAACCTCTAAGAGTCAGCAGAACAAAAAACTCATCAGATTACACAGATTAAAAACAGAATAATTCTGAAAATGACTTAATCAAGAGCATGTTATCAATCTGTTTCCTGACAGGTAGTATGAACCTTAGAATAAATAAAACTCCTGTTCTCCTGTATATTTTAAATGTTTACTGTACTGATCTGAGGGGTTTTGAAAAATCTCAGTTTTAAAATATCCCTTATTGTTCATCTAAAATTGCCCCTTCTCTTAGTCTTGTATTTGATACTGTTGAAGACTACCCAGAAGTAAGAGTAGGCAAAAGTTTCAGGGGCCTTTTGGAAGAGACACATTGAGTTCATTTACTTGGAAAGAAAGACTTTATTCTAAGGTGTCTCTATTTTATCATTGAGACGTATTTTCAAAGCAAATCTTCTCTAAGATACTTAAGTACTCAGGATAGGACACATTGACTTATTAAAAGTTACAAAGCCTAAGGAAAGCGAGCACAAGTCAATAACACCACAATTCAGAATTCC